TGTGGATGGATGGATTCCTTAGACCAAGTCGATCGATTTGATGTCTCACATGTGTGGGTGGGTAAGTCCATTCAGCCAGAAGATGATTGACCTCTCTCAACCAATCAGGGAACTGGGAGGGAGCGGGGCACTTTCCCGCCTTCTGACTTTCAATCAAATTTAACTTGTTTCTAGTTTTAAGTACAGATAATTCAAGAAGATCAAAAACAAGTCTGTTATTGGTTCAATATTCAGCTTTTTATATTCATTCTCATGAGACTTGGTCAAAGTGATTTGTAGTTCCTTGTGTTGCCATGGTAACAGATGACAGGAGTCTGCATTAATAAAGCAATGTACAATGTCACATGACTCTTAAACTTTGAATAACATTTCTATATTAAAGTATGTTGATACACTTGTGTCTAAAATGTTGTTAAATGCTGTTGCTAAGCACGTTGCCATGGTAACGCAGAACACAATATCAAGTTAATACAAGACTCCTGGGACCAAGCAGGTTGAATTGATGTATCATATGTGTGGGTGCATATTTCCTTTTAGGCAGAAAACGACCCAGGACACGTTGGAGAGGTTACATCTCCAATCTGGTCTGGGAACGCCTTGGGGTCCTGCCGGAGGAGCTGGTGGAGGTGGCTGGGGAGAGGACGGTCTGGAGCTCCCTAGTTGGGATGCTGCCCACGCGACCCGGACCCGGATAAGTGGAGGAAGACGACGAGACGACGACAGCAGAAGACGATTGAAAACTCTCAGCCAATGAGAGAGCAGTGAAGGAGGAGGGGGCGGTTCCTGCCTTCTGACTGGTGTTAAAATGTCAGCTATGCTGCTAATTTTAAGTGTATAGAGCTCACAAAGATAAGAAACAGCAGTATGTTATAGGCTCAACATTAGGCTTTTCACATTCATTTCAATGAGACTTGTTTGGGGATATCCTTATGCACTTGTGTTACCATGCTAACAGATAACACATTTAAAATTGAATACAAGATTCCTGAGACCAAGCTGGTCGATTTGATGTATCATATGTGTGGGTGCTCGATCTTGCTTGGACGGAAAATGGTTTAACACTCTCAACCAATCAGAGAGCAGCACTGTTTTCCCGCCTTTTCCCTGGCTGTTGGAGGCTCTGTACTCCTGTTAATGAGAGAAGCCTTTAAATCTGTCCTTCAGAAGTGAAATTGGACCTGTCAAACCTCTATTTTAAATCATTACAGATTCAAAGCACATTATCTGCGTTTTTAGTGGAAAAAAGTTTATATGAGGATTTTCTGTACTAGCTTTAAAGCTTTAGAATAAAGTTTACAAGTGTTAGGATGTGGTAAACATTTATGATTAGATTTCTGATCATCACTACCAGTTTTGTAGTCAGTTACATGAGGAACATTTCACATAATAGGGTGAGAATTGCTTTAAAAATGCAAGGAACTTCAATGAAAACCATTAGACTGTAATTAGAAGTCAAGAAGAGAAAAGGATAACGTTTACAACAGGAATATGTTAACACAAGATGCAAGCTGAAAAGTAAAGTCATGACCCTCTTGTGTTTTCCTTGTTGAGATACTCACATAAAATGTAGCAGTTACATGCTAAGACTTAACAATAACACATTAAAATGCAGTTGCTAGGCAAGCAAGAGAATGATTAGTGAGCAAGTCATTTTTATGATGGGAGACCAAAAATGATGAACAATATGTCACACAGCATCTCCAACGTTACCCTTAGAAAGGGCATCAGGGTCTTTCCTTGGGTTTTTATTATGCAGTAAGTGATTTTATGAGCCAGGGAACAGGAGCAATAATGTATCACCTTTGATGTCCAGTCAATAGTCTCCATTACACAAACAGGACATTCACACAGCACACACACCTCCCTCTGCACACACAATATGCTGTGTATTTACTGTAGCAACTGCTAACTGACATGGAAAGTTTGACTGGTGGAACTTCCTCGCAGTGTCCCAGCTATCAGATGGTGGACAAACCCTCGCCTTGTGCCAGTTCACTCCAGTGCACAACTGAGAGGACACTTGAGTCCGTGCCCTTCAGCATTCTTTGGCTTGTCACAGTGGTGCTAAAGTTTACTCCTACTGGGACCAGTACCCACCTCACACAATGCTCCAGTGCTGATAGGAGTAAGAACACATATTTACGGTCACTGACAGAAGTAATGTAAAAGGAAAAGATCAGATTTTGAGTAAATTCTTCCAACTTCTGGGTGCTCTGGGAAAATTATTGTCAATGCTAGCCTTGCCTTTTGATAGCAAAAACAATATCAATGAAAAGCATTATCCAAGTATCCCAAAATTTAGCTTTTCAGTCCATCTGATTTAAATGAGCATGTTGTAGAGCATCTAATGCTAACGGTTAGCTTCTACTCGATGAGATGCGCTCAGCTCTCTCCTGGCTGCAAAATCAACGCAGCCTTCTGCAGTCACAAGCCAAGGTGGACAAGACCATGAATACCAATTTTCTCTGTAACAAAGAAAAGACTGGCTCATTCTGAACCCGTCATTTACTCGTCTGTTTCCATTTTGCGGCTAATGCAGGTGATGGGTCTGAGACCGTTTCACATTCAGCATGCATATGCAACTCAGACCAACTATCAGATTTCAAAATAACAATTATTATGCGGTTATTTTGAGATGCTGCAGTGACATTTAAACAAATTGAAAGGACCCAGTTTCCACTTCTTTATGACTTTCACTTAAGATCTGATTTTTTTTTTTACATTTTCATCAAATGATGTGGCATCCTTTTGTTCCCAACACATGACTTGATTCGTATTAGTACGGATAGCAGCAGGAGTTTTTAAAATTGAGATTTGATGCATTTTTAATGTCTTAATGTCTTTAATGTATTTGAGCGGTCTCAAATCAGATGCATCAGATTATGAAACGACATGGTAAAAGCTGACCTATAAGAGAAACAGCATTAATTCTATTTCAATTAACTTTCAATTAAGTATCTCCATTGATCTGCAGCTCCATCTATCATCTATATATATATACAGTATGTAGAATGGTGTTATATAGGTAATAAAAATAAGACCCAGAGTGGGTAACTATTTGGAGTGTAGACTTTACCCTCTCAGGCTGAAAATAAGTTTTGATAAAAGGACGAACAACTAAGTCCTTCAAGGGTACTTCTGAGTTTAAAAACGCTCACGAAATACGTATGTGGAGTAACGAGGTAGGCAGGTTTTAACGTTGCAAATCTGCAACGCCTGCCTCCAGAGGGTTAAATAATGCTTTTGTAATGATAACACACCAACTACTAAATTAATATTAGCACATCTGTCACTTGTAAAGTTTTTGGCATCATCCTGAAATATTTCAATTGGCTTCAAGAATTCCAATCAGTCTTATGCAGAAAGGAACAAAAATGTATTTCTCCTTTCTTTAAACCCAGTGCAAGAATCAGTTTAAATGAATTATAGGCTTGAAAATGGACTCAACCCTTGTTGGACTGTATTATATTGTGAATTTACCAAAAGCCAACTACGCGCCAACCAGAAGCTCTGCTGGGCTTGGCTCCTTTCCCAGTCTGCAAGTGCAGAGTCAAAAAGGTCTGGTGTGGCTGGGTTCAGATAAAAACCTGCTTCAGACAGATTATTCCATATAACTTCCACCTCAAAGATTATGCCATCAATCAAAGCTGAACAGGTTCCTCATGTTCCCACAATTTTATTTAAGCAGCACTAGAAATAGATTTTGTGAATTAAAAACTTTCATAAATCTTAACAGAAATCTTCACTTATATTGTCAACAAAAGACGAAAGCTTTTGGTTTGTTGCTTCTCATGGCTGTTTATACAATGATCAACATTTTAAATCCTAAGTATGTCAACAAGCCTCTGGACCCGTGTATCGATTTGATCGTCTCATATGATCATCTGATCACATGCAAATAAAAAAAGTATCAATTTTCAATTACTACAGTTGCTCATTTGAGAAAAGTGGAAAGAAGATTTATCTGAAATCTGGTAATCACTCTCATTGTGAGGTTGGATACACATTTGTACAGTTTTTTTTTTGTTTTTACCACTGAGCATTAATCTAATCTTTCATCTTAGACAAGGAGCCCACAGTTTGAAAAGAAAAGTGCTTTTCTTCCTTTATTTTGTTCAGCAGGCACATTTGTTTTGTACATAATGCATTAGTTGTACATTATAGAAGACTGTAGGAGCACACAGAGAAAAAAAACGGGAGTTAATCTTGTTGAGCGTGCAGCAGCTTATAATCACTGCCTTTCATTCGGAGGCTTCTGCTTTCTATCTTCAACCAACACCTGCCTCAGAAATGATGCACACCACTGACAAAACACGGTTTGTGTGTTTGCTGCCTTGGTGATCCAACTAATGATATTTTGGTTTACATGGAAGACTGCTAAAATATTCACACACTGACCTAAATTTGATCTAAAAAGCAGACATGTTTAATGCACAATGCTATTAGTGTCGCAGCATTTGCAAGGCATTACAAAAATGGATAATTTTCATTTGCTAAGTGTGAAGCTGCTGCTGAGAGCAGTTCAGACGGACTTTGAAATGGAAATCTAAAGGAGCTCGGGGCAGTAGAAGGATGTGAGCGTGAGACTGATGATACCTTCTCAGCTGGCAGGTTCTCTCGGGCTTACAGTTGGAGAAAATCTGCTCAGCACTTTCTCCTGCCTGACTCCTAAAATCTGCATTCAAATGCACACATGCAGACATGTACCGGTTAGATGTGGGAATAAAAAGCACTCACACGCAGAAACAAATATACAAGTGTGGATGTGCTTGAAAAAATAGAATAGAAAGACCAAAGAGAAAAGTAGTTTCTCACTCTTCTACTTGGGTATAGCCAGAGAATGTATTGGTGTGCATCCTGTCAGAAGGTATTATTCAGGACTTGCCCATCAGCTGTGTTCACTGACATGACAGGAGACAAGCTCTATTGTATTCTGCTGATTTACACAAGTTGACAGAAAGAGAGGCATTTTTCTAAAGAAAACCACAGAAGAACCAGACCTGACTCTGCTTCCTCCAGTCTCCCTGCTTGGTTCCCCATGTTGGTCTGCTCCGAGACTCCCACACTCTACACCGAGGCAGACTAATCCAAGAATCCGTGACTGCGGGGGAGAGGTGTGTGTGTCAGGATTGTCGCCTCTGTTCACCACAAGCGATCACCAGCGGTCAGTCATTTGTGTAGGAAGCCGTGAAAGACGCAAATTCTTCTCATTCTTCCGTCCTATCGGACCCCGTTTCTTTTCTCCATGTCTCCCCAGGGTTGTGTAAGTGTGTGTGTATGTGTGGGCATGTGTGAGGAGGCAGGCTGTGCGTATTGTCAGTGAGTGAGTGTGTGTGCGTGCGTGTGTGTGCTTGTCCTCCAGGATGGTGACCATCTGTCACAGAGGCATGCAGTGGTGTTGAGTACACCTCATTGCTGCTGTGATGACTGGAATCAGCTCAGAGGGGGTGTGGCTTTCACACAAACACACCTCATCCTGCTGTCAGACACGTTACTCTCTAGTGCCACTGAGCAGTGGTGGGATGATCTCTAACTCTTACACATCGGATGATACTGGAGAGGAGAAGAGCAGTATTTGTGATGTTGTCAGATGACAAAAGTGCAGCTGTTTCTTCTATTCTGTTTCTCAACTGATCTTGAGAGTCTGCTGAGACTGTATCCATGTGCAACAGAAAGCAGAAATCTTCCTCCATCAATAAAAAAGAGGTTGGTATGTTCATGTGAAGTCTTTGTTGGGTTCCACTTGGAGTTAGCCTGCAGCTCAACAGCATAAGTGTGTATGTGGGTGTTCCCACATGTGTAGAGGGTGGGGGGAAACTACATTTGGTCAAACTGTGTGAAGTCAGCGAGTGTTAAGCTCGTCGCTTTTCTCCTCTCGCGTCTCTTTAACAATGCATGTGTGTTAAATATTAATAACACCCTGATTTATTTGGAGGAACATATTTGGGTTAACCATTTAAGTCAGTGTTTCACTGGGTTCTAACGACTGGTGACTGGGTGGAGATGCAAACTAGTGAAAAAATACGGAGATTTTGAGATATAATTACATTGACTTGTTACTGTTGCCGGCAGGTAAGTCAGGCTGGTTCCCGGTGAGCGTTGGAGTCCACCAAGGCTGCCCTTGGTCAACGATTCTGTTCCAAACTTTTATGAACATTATTTTAAGCACAGTCAAGGTGTTGAAGGGATCGGTTTAGGTGACCTAAGGATCAAATATCCGCTTTTTGCAGATGATGTGGTCCCGTTGGCTTCAACAGACCGTAATCTCCAGCTTTCACTGAAGCGGTTCGGAGCGGAGTGTGAAGCAGCTGGGATGTGAATCAGCTCTCCTAGATCAGAGGTCGTGGTCTTGAGTTAGAAAAGGGTTTAGACAGCACAACAGCACAGAGACTGCACTGAACAAGGTATTAAACGACATTCGTCTCAACAGTGATTCAGGTAAAGCATCTGTCCTGATGATGCTTGACCTTAGTGCAGCTTTCGATACTGTGGACCACAACATCTTTCTGGACAGACTCACAAACTGGGTGAGACAATCAGTCACAATGCTTGGCTGGTTCCATTCCTATCTCAAAGACGGGGGCTATAGTCTCTATTAGGGATCACTATGACATGTGGGGTCCCCCAAGGCTCAATTCTAGGACCACTATTCTTTGATCTACATATGCTCCCCCTGGGTCAGGTCATACTTAATAACAACATCGCCTATCATAGCTATGCTGATGACACGCAGATCTACCTAGCCCTATCACCTAGTGACTGTCGGCCACTGGACTCACTCTGTCAGTGTCTAGAACAAGTAAACGACTGGATGCAGTCAAACTTCCTTCAACTAAGCAAAGACAAGACTGAAATTATTGTCTTAGGCAACAAGAAGGATAAAATGGATGTTATTGCTCAGCTAGGTTAATATGCTGCTCACAAATGGAATCAGCTTCCCTTACCCAGCTAGGTAAGGGAATAAGAGGAATGAAGACAAAAACCCAGATTAGAAATCTTGGTGTTATTATTGACTCCGACCTGAACTTCTCCGGACCTAATAAGGCTATAAATAAATCAGCGTTTTATCACCTTCATCAAATATCAAGAGTCAGAGGTCTCATGTCCAGGCCAGACTTAGAGAAACTTATTCGTGCTTTTATTTCTAGTCGGCTGGACTACTGCAATGGTCTCCTAACTGGTCTTCCTACAAACGTTGTGAATCAACTGCAGCTGTTGTGTCCTTGGACAAGACACTTAACCCTAAAGGGGCTGGTGGCACCAGTGTTCGGCAGCCTCATCTCCATCAGTGTGCCCCAGGGCAGCTGTGGCTATAATGTAGGTCATCATCACCAGCATGTGGATGTGTGTGTGAATGGGTGAATGACCGATTGTATTGTGAAGCATCTTGGGGGGTTGTAGAACCCCAAGAAGGCGCTATACAAACACAGGCCATTTACCATTTGTTGCTAAAACCTAAAAAAACAGAAATAAAACCTGACAAGCACAAACTAAAAACAAGACTCTTGGTGACTCCTAAAACCAACTAGAAAAAACAAAACAAAACTAGATGTAGTTCCATAGAGCGCCGCCGGACATGACCATCGAGCTGTTGACCACGTGTTTATGGTTCTAGATCATCCATATTGTAAAGAAGCTGATTTAAATCACTGCAAACTAATCGGGGCAACATGTCTGTGATGTGAAAAATTTTCTAAACAAAAAATTTGAACTGTTCAGTCTTGCAATGTTTGCAGTTAGATTTTTCTTGAGGCATTAGTGATTCAGCTGCATTTCATGGCACTACATTAAGTGGGTCTGTGTGACTCTCATATGGATATAAAGAACCCTCATCCAGAATGTTCATCTGACAAAAGTGTGTCCATCTCTAAGGGCCACACAGGCCCGCCCATTTCAAGATCTGGCAAGAACATTACTTTCTGTCTTTCTGTTTTCTACAAGTCTCAAGCCGCTCAAAGGCAAAATCTTCAACTTTATACTAAGATTAAATCCAAAATTGAGTGGGCGTGCTGTCTGAGTTGATGCAACGACATCAGTGATAAGTTTGGCATTTCAAGCAAACCCTGCAGGTGCTTTTGGCCAAGTAAAAATGACAAATCTCTGTAATCATTTTAGACATCATATCAAAGTGGGAACAGAAGCAACAACAGGAGGTTTGATTAAATCCTGCCATAAATCATATAGTCTTGAAGAGAACACAACAGTAGAGAAAAGACATGAATACTTTTGTCTGCATGATCTTCAGCCACAGCTACATGTCAAACTTTCAGTGTATAACCACGGCTGAGTGATTCTGCAGGATGTGGTCTTTCGGTGGACTTAGGTCCACTTGATTAATTCATCTGACATACGAGAATCTCAAAGAACATACCTTCCACATACTGACATACATGTCTGTGAAACTCATCCCTTCCTTTACCAACAATAAACCTGTAAATGACTTGTAACCACAATAAATTTATTGTTGGGCAGTGGGACACGCAATGAAAGGAACAGAACCACAGCTGACTGAATTCTGTACAAAGCTGGTCATGGTTTAGAAAGGTGGGAGAATTATAACATCTGTTTTGTCTTTGTGTGCGATACGCTCATCTGTGAATTGGGTCTTTAACTGATAGTCTGCAGGCTACGATGCCATACACAAACCTGAAAAGGTCAATATGCTGGTAGGCAGGGATAGAGTACTTGAGTCCCAGACATGGATTTGAGTTCTGACTCGAGTGAGGCTTAAGAGACTTTTGACTTGACTTGAAAAAGCATGCCAATGACTTGCACTTACAAAGTTAAGTCTTAAACGTAGACTCCAGCATGTGTAAATGTGGCACACCGCCGCTTGACATATTCAACATGTCCAGGGAGAGTCCGCGTGCAATTTGCCATAACAGAATTTTCCTCAAAGTCAGAAAAAAGCAGCACCAGATGTACAATAAGCAGAACAATAGAGACTGGGACAACTTGATGCCTCATGCTGTCACCAAGCTAACACAGTAGCATGTGACAAAATAATAAAACATGTTTAAAATACATGTGAAAAAATAAATAAATCAACATGTACACTTACAGAGGCTTTAGGAAGTTGTGGTTATTATTTTAATCAGAGCTAAAATGACAAGCTAACATTAGCGTAGACTACATGCTAATTTAGACAATTTCGCAAACTTTTCTGGGAGCTAACGTAAATGGGGTGGTTAAAGAAGGATGCTGGACTTATCTGGAAGATTTTTTGTGGGACTCAGACCTGGCCAGTAGGGCCTAGTGCCTTGATTCGGACTCGACCTGGACTAATACTTTGTGACTTGGACTTACACTTGGACTTTAACACCAAGGACTTGAGTGTCACTTGGACTCGAGAGATGGTGACTTGACTACAACACTGCTGGTAGAAAGGATAAAAAACATTTAAAAGTGACATGTTGATTTTGATAACGTGGGTTCCTCATTATCAACTTAGATGCAACCTAGATGTTAAGGTGACGAGTCTCTTATCTAACGCACAGGCCATCAAATCCAGAAAGTGGGAGTGGTTACATGCTAATGCAGAACTATGTCCATACGATCTCCTCCTGCAATCTAAAAACCTTAACATTTAAATAGATTTAACATGATTTTCTTTGTTCGACTCAGACACACATCAATAATCAGAATGAAATGATGGAACAGGAAGTGAAGGAAACGCCCACCAATGACAAACACACTTATTCAGTTATGCCGAGTCGTCCCCATCAAGCTCCTTTTTTATAGAACAAGTAACTTCTCATTCTATTGGCCTCCTCTCCTTGCCTGCTCCATAGGGACTCCTCCCTGAGTGAAAGCTTTACTGAATTATTGATGAAGTGTTTTCAATAAGTCATCCATTTGGGGGGGGGGGGCTCTTGTCTGACAGCATGGTATGGCAGACATTCTAAAGTGACAGCTGGAATCAGAACAGCACTCCATTAGCAAAAATAACAGTTTTGACACATTAGTAGAGCCTGCTGTGAGGGCAAGCAAGGGTTGGGAGCCAGGCTCTATTAGCCAATCCTGCAAGTGCTGCTTCCTTTCTTTTTATTTATGATGTAAATAAACCATGATCAAATTAAAACCTCATAAAGTAGCTTCATTAGGTCCTTTAGAGCCCAAAATGCAGTCTTGTGTGTTACTAGACTCTGTTAAAAAAAACCCTACTGTGTTTTCAAATTTTACAATTTTCCTCGTCAAAAAAGAAAAATATCAAAGTCCCTAAATAAGTTTTAAAAACGCGTGTGAACATGACTGCTACTGGTTGCACACATGGCTAACCGCTGCCCATCTTTCACTTGTCAGATCTCATTTTTCACTCCGATTAGTTTGCTTTATGAGACCTGCCTGACTTCATATGTCATGATGTGCACTAGGTGCAGAACTGAGCAGCTGGGCTGCCTTTTCAATACTGTCCTAAAACTCTACCCGGGAGCCATTACAGCAAATATCAGAGGGCAAAACTTCAAATGAACAAAATGCCAAAAACAAAAATCAGCCAATGAGAAAGGGACAATTTATAATAAACATCAAACTCAGTTGTACATTTTTATTTAGCTCTAACTTTGTTGGCTGCCAGAATTTTCCAGCAAGTTGTGGTTAGTTGGCTACTGGCAACTTTATTTAATGTATCATGAACTGCACAATGACAGAAATGGTCAGTGGGTGTGAAAAACAAACTTTTATTAATTAGAGCTCAGTGAAGGCTGATTATGGTCTAACTATGCCTGTGAGAACATAAAGCAGCTTCTCTGGAGTCTTTTTGTCTGGAAAAATGAGATTATGTTTGCTTCACAACACCAGAGCAACAGCATTCACACGCAGAGGAACTGAGTAACATAAACAAACACAGATAGCTGAACCACCAAGGGTTCTCTGGTGATAAGCTGGTCAGACTCTGACTTTATTCATTAGCTGCTAATTAACCAAAACCTAAAAACACTTTTTAATCAGTCGCCTGAATCTTACGGACTCTTCTTTTTTTCACCAGAAAAATGTTGCCTGCTTGTGCTTTTCAGGCATCCAGTTCACTGGTGCACCACCGCCATCTGGTGGCTTCATTGAGCAACTGTAAAAATGAAGAGGACTGTACCTGTAAGGCTGCGAGGACGGGCCTCCGCTAGATCTGAAATGGCTCCAGTGGTGACAGTCTTCTTCATCCTGGAGCTGGATGCAGCGGTTCCCAGAGCGGGCTTGGTCAAGGCATCATCACTGTTGGCTCTTTTTAGCTGCAAACACATCAGCTCTTAGTCTGGTGAAGCTTCAGAAGATTTCTCAAGTTCAAACATCTGCATATTAATAAAAGTATGGATTGCTGTGTGATGGCATCTCACCTTGCTGAGGCGCTGGTCTGAAGCCAACATGTTGGAAGATTTGGAGGTCCTCATGGCTGTGGAGATGGAGGACGAGGACGTCAAGGAGGTCTGTCTCACTCGCTCCTGAAGTCCTGCTTTGGGCAGCCCCAGTTTAGTGGCGCCTGGTTTAAGCATGACTGTGTCACTTTACTAAACAGAAAAAAAAGAGTAGTGAGGAATCTGCTTTAATAGAACAATTATTATAGAGGAAGTCAGTTTCCTTCAGAATAAAATCATTTCTGTGCCTGTGTATGCCAAATAAAAACCCTCAGTAGATGATGCTGAAATATAAAAGCCATCTGATCCATGCAAATAGACAAGAGAACAAGAAGAGTTACAAAATGTTGATTTGTATTGTAACAATTATTAATTATTATTCCGATACGTCTCCCATCTTTTTATAAAGATATCAGAGCAGCAAGTGGCTCATTTTCCTCCATTTCCTCACCACCAGGTCTCAGGAGGAGACTGTAAATATTTTATGCTAACCACACCTAGCTAATAGAGTGGTCTTTAAAACACACATTTAGTCCTAACAGGTGTTTACATAAACGTGAGGATTTTTCTGATAATTGCATGAATGAACAAACTAAACCAGGACGGAAAATGCAATATTTAGCAAGAGCTTCAAGAGTTTAGACGGATGCACAATCTTTGCTTTCATCCTGTTTATTGACCGTACGGCTGCATAATCTTTGTGTGAATCTGACCCAGTGTCTTATCTAATTAGCTCAACTCAGAGGAACTTAGCAAGACGTGACACCATCTTCACTTATTTGGTAGAGGAGAACATCTTCATGAAAAGATAAATAGTTAAAAGCAACCTGATGGATTTGCTTTCCCAACTGAGTCAGGAA